GGGTAAAGTTTACGCTTATCTCAGAACTAGTGAGCTCTTATCGTAGAAAAGCTAATAAAATTTATGATTATGATAAGAACTCTAAGTTGTAAAAAAATCATTTCAAAACAACTTTTCACTCTACCCATATTCAATTTAGAAACTACCCACTAAACTCCCCCAAAAAGGCGGCAATGGCACGGCCGGTTAAGAGGCAAGCACCACAAGGAGCACCAGCAGAGGAGATTAAGGAGGAACACCTTTTGGCTTTCATTGCGAAGAAGGAATATAATGATGATAATAAATGCAAAAAAAGGCTCGAGGAATATTGTGAAGAGTTGAAGAAAGCAGATGAGAAACTAGAGAATGTGGATAAAAAAGTTAAAGGACTTTGTGAAGGGAAAGAGAAAAAGTGCGGAGAACTGAAAGACAAAGTTGATGAAGAATTAGATAATTTTGATACGGAACTTGAAGGAGCATCGGCAGATATAAAAGATGATGAATGTGAAAAACATGAAGAAAAATGTATACTTTTAGAAGAGACGGATCATAATGATATTAAGGAGAACTGTGTCAAGTTGAGGGAAGGATGTTACGAATTGAAGCGTAAAAGGGTGGCAGAGGAGCTTCTTTTCAGGGCGCTCGGAAAGGAAGCTAAAGATAAATGTGAAGAAAAGATGAAAACTGTTTGCCTAGTGTTAAGCCGAGAAGGCGACGAGTTGATGTCTTTCTGCCTTGATCCGAGTGGAACGTGTAAAGAGCTGAAAAAAAAATTGGTTGAAGTTTGCCGGCCTTTACAAACAAAATTGAATGAGAAAAGTTCAGAAAAAGATTGTCATGAAAGACTTGAGAAATGTCATTTTTACAAAGAAGCGTGTGATAAAACAAACTGCGAGGAGGATATGAAGCAGTGCGAGGGAAAAGGATTCACATATAAAGCACCGGAATCTGATTCTAGTCCTGTCAAGCCGAAGCCGTCGTTGTTGAGAAGTATTGGGTTGGAAGATGTGTATAAAAAGGCTGAAAAAGAAGGAATTATTATTGGAAAATCAGGAGTGGATCTACCAAGGAAGTCGGGTACAAATTTTCTGCAAGATCTCTTGCTACTGTTGAGCAGAGATGAGAATGTGAAGGAACCAAAAAAGAAATGCGAAAAAGCGTTAGGAAAATGCAAAGATCTTAGTGACTTGGATCATAATTTTAAAGAGTTATGTAAAAATGAAACTACTAAAACCGAAAAATGCGAAAAATTGCTAGATGTAAAAGAAAGATGTACAAAACTCAAATTAAATCTTTATGTGAAAGGGTTGTCTACAAAATATAATGAAAAAGAAAAATCAGAACTTTTATTCTGGAGAAAACTGCCAACATTATTTACGAAGGGAGAGTGTGCAGAACTTGAGTCGGAATGTTTCTATTTAGAAAATGCGTGTAATAATAAGATTGATGAAGCATGTCAAAATCTACGATCAGCGTGCTATAAAAAGGGACAAGACAGGATGTTGAATAAGTTCTTTCAAAAGGAATTGAGGGGAAATCTTGGTCTTGTAAGATATCGTAGCGATCCTGGTGATTGTAAAAAATATGTAGTGGGAAACTGTACAAAACTTGATAAAAAATATCTTCCACGATGTCTTTATCCTAAAGAACTATGTTATGCGGTTTCAAATGATATTTTTCTTCAATCTAAAGAGTTAAGTTCGCTTTTAGATGATCAGAGAGATTTTCCATTAGAAAAGGATTGTCTTGAGTTGAAGGAGAAGTGTGATGAACTTGGTAGTGATTCATTATTGAATTTAGAAAAGTGTATAACATTGAAAAGACGCTGTGAATACTTTAAGGTTACAGAGGGATTTAGAAAAGTATTTTTAGAAAAAAAGGATGATTCGTTAATGACTCAGGGAAACTGTACAAAGGTATTGCATGAGAAATGTAATACTTTATATAGGAGGAGAAAGAATTCATTTAGTGTTTCATGTGCTTTACCAGAAGAAACATGTAGTTATATGGTATTCCACACAAGTCAAGATTGTAAATATTTAAAAGAAAACATCAAGAATGGAGAAATTGTAGGAAAAATTGAAAAAGCAAATGGAAATGAAGCAACACTCGAAGAACTCTGCACAACATGGGGCCGACATTGTCATCAACTTGTGGAGAACTGTCCAGATCAGTTGAAAAAAGAGAATGGCAATAATCATAACTGCGAAGCACTCGATGAAAAATGCAAGGAAACCTTTCAAAAGTTGAAAGCGAAGGATGAGCTGACTCATTTGTTGAAAGGCAGTTTAAAGGATGAAAAAAAATGTACAGAAGCATTAGGAAAGGATTGCACTGACTTGCAAAAGAATGGAAAATTCGAAACTCTGCTTACTAATTGTGAAGCTAATGCTTTGGGAACTGTTTGCAAAGAATTAGTTGAAAAACTAAAAAAGAGATGTCCTACTTTAAAAGACGGACTGAATAAAGCGAAAGATGAGTTGACAGAGAAGAAAAAAGAATACGATGAGCTCAAAAAGGCGGCAGAAGAATCTACGGAGAAAGCTAAGTTATTGCTATCAAAGTCTGGAAAAGCCGCAATGCCAAGTGGACAGGATAGCAATGGTTCTGCACCAGTATCACCGCCTGCACCAGAATCAGGATCATCACCAGCAGTGCCACCAGCAGTGCCACCACCACCAGGGTCACCACAAAATGGAACGCCAGGCACACCAGGTGGAGGATCAGGCACACCAAGCAGTGGAACGACGAACAATGCAAAACTTGGACTCGTTAAAAGAGCGTATGTAGATGGAGAAGTATCAGAAGCAGAGGTAAAAGCATTTGATGCAACGACGATAGCATTGGAATTGTATTTGGAATTGAAAGAGGAATGCAATGCTTTACAACTAGATTGCGGTTTTAGAAAGGATTGTTCGAGTGTTGAAGGTGTTTGCAAAGAAATAGACACGTTATGCAAAGGAATAGAACCATTAAAAGTTACGCCTCATCATACAGAGACGCAAAAAGAAATCTCAACCACTACAACGACCACTACAACGACCACTACCACGACTACTACTACGACTACTACGACAACTACTACGACAACCAAGCAGGGAAGTGGAGGAAAAGTAACAGAAGAGTGTACAATGATACAAACAACAGATACATGGGTGACGAGTACGTCATTGCATACGAGTACGACAACGAGTACGTCAACGGTGACGTCGACAGTGACGTTGACTTCGATGCGCAAGTGCAAGCCTACCAAATGTACTACTGATTCAAAGAAAGAGACAGACAAAGGAGGAGAAGAAGAAGAAGAAGTAAAACCAAATGATGGGATGAAAATAAGAGTTCCTGATATGATTAAAATAATATTGTTGGGAGTGATTGTTATGGGGATGATGTAAAATGAATGAAAAAAATGTTAATAGAATGAAAATGTGCATATATCCATTGTTTATATATAATAGAAATGTAAATGAAT